GAACATCAGCTAAATTAAAAGAACAATATGGATCAGGTTATAAATTGGTTATTAATAAACATAGTAGCTGTCGTATAAATGATATTAAAACTGAATTACGTAGTTATTTACCAGAATTAAAAGTTGAAACAGATATATCGGGTGGTGATGTCGTCTTTCGTACAAATCAACAACCAAATGATCAATTTGTTCAAGCATTACATCATCTTGAATCAATGAAAAGAAATAATCGAATTAAAAATTATGGAGTACAAAATAGTACTATGGATGATGTATTCTTAAAAATTACAAGAGATACAGAAGTTAAATATGATTCAAACTCAACATCCCTTTATACTAATACGATCGGTTCGTTAACGATTTTTGTTTATTAATGAATAACTAGTTCTATTTAAATTAAAACTCGTCTCAACAGACTTAAAATCAAACCTTAGTTTTTTATCAGTAACTAGAGCACTCGATATATTTCTTAGATAAGATTGATAACGATATTACAATAATCAATTACAATTATCATTTAATTCTAAACACAATCATTTTTGTCTGAAACTTTGTTCGGTATGCATAAAATACGTCTTGAGATATCTTATTAGGAATTCATCTTAAATGACCAGGTACTTTTCTTGAATATGTCAAGTAGTCCGGAAAGGAAAAATTCGAAAAAGAAATAAATCACCTCGAAAAGTTTCATGGTGTGGGTGAGGGTGTTGGTGTGGAAGCAGAGTAGTCCATGCCTATACATCCACGCCTACATTCACTCACACCCATCTACATCCGTACCTACACCCTCATAATCATTGAGTTTAATTCTCTATGCTGAAATTTCTTTTGTTTATTGCAGAAAAACAATGTCGTCATGTATTTCATCATCAACGTTTTCTTTCTGGTCCTCGTTATTATTTAAGTCAGTTTCATGGATTATTAGTAAAAACTGTACTTGTTCGTTATCGTCGTTGGGGATTAACACTTCTTGTTTTATTATTACCAATTTTATATAATCTTTTATTAAATTTAATATTTCAAAGTCAAAGTGATACAGGAGTTTTTAAAATGAATATCAATTCTCTTAATCCACAAACAATTTTATATCATACTGATCCGAGTATGAATAAATATTTTCTTGCATCTATTAATGGTGCAAAACTTGAAGAAGGACCAGAAAATATATTTGAAATGAATGATAAGATTTTGAGTAAGTTTTAATATTATTAAAATAATAATTTTTTATTATTTTATTCTTATACTAGAAAAACGAATGGATCGTCTATATACATATACAGATATTTATCTTGGTTTTAATATTCCTTCACCAGCTGGAGACACTTATAAGATTCAAGCATTATCATCAAATTTAATATCAGGTTATGAAGTTATTTCTCTTGCATCAAATACATTCTATAAACATGCATTAAATGATTCAAGTGCATCGATTCAAACAACACTTGTCTATAGAAAAAAGAGAAGAGATTTTACTGGAGGACCATCGCTTGGTCAAATACTGGATATATTTAGTCAGTCATCATGTTTTAGAAAAATATTACCAACATCACTTTTGTTTGATTTGTATATAAATTAAAAAAAAATATTTTCATTGAAAAAATTGTAATTTGATCTTATTTAGGTTTATATTCTATATTTTGTTCTTTTACACAACTGTATTTTTAATCAGTGAACGGAAAGATAACTTTTTATCATTACTGAATATTAGTGGTTTACAGTAAGTATTGAAATAAAACTTAATTATTTGATAAAATCGACAGTAAATTTTTATTTCTAGTCCAGCATCATATTGGTTATTTACTTATCTATTTGATATGATAATATCTGTTATATGGTTTTGTTATTTACTTGCAATTTATCGTATATTTGATGTTTCTTTTAATGATCAACCAAAAGAGAAACCTTCAGTACAAAATGTAGATGAAATTCTTAGTTCATGGGATTTCCGTGTACAATTTTATCGATTATCAATTTTAACAGCATTACCAACATTACCCTTTGCTTATTTATTAACAAAACTTTTTAAAAATGATATTCTCGTATGTACTTCTTTTCATATGTAGCATTTCTAATATACGATCAATCCATTGCAATTATAACTCATATGAGAAAATAATCATTCACCAGGGATGTGCATGACGACAATCTGTTTCTCTTTACCCTCGTGATAGCAGTGCGACGTCAGTTTTCTAAATTTCCAACCGCGATGGGCATCTCTATCATTCATTTTTGCTGAAAATTTAACTTGATGGTCATGAGATATAACTTCAATGGTATATCTACTGGCGGTATTTTTATTTATTTTAGTAAAACATTAAAATTTGTTTTTTCTCATAACTGTTATTATTATTCTTTAACTGATTTAATCTATATTTTAGGGTGGTATAACCATATGTTTTGTATTAATAATTCTTCATTCTACAAATATTATTTTCTCAGTTTTAAGAACACATATTATAAGTATATCTGTTCAAAAACTTTTATATTGGCTATTTAGTATCATATTTCCAACTATCAATTCACAAGCTATAATAACTCATATCTTAGCACATGAAAGTCAATTCTGTAAAGTAGTGATTGCAGAGATTAAAGCAGACCCTAGTGACGATACATCATATTTTGAACCTATTGGTGATGATACAATGTGTTGGAATATAGTTATTCTTGTTTTACATATAGTTATATTCTTATTCTTATTAATTATCATTGATAGTGGTTTATTACAATTTTCATTTTCATCTTCCTATAAATCAAATTTTAATGAAAATACTCTTGATGATGATGTTTTAGCTGAACGTCATCGAGTTTTAGGAACGCAAACATATACATTTGAAGATGAAGAAAATGTTGATCATTTAATAGTTAAAAATCTTGTTAAATATTATCCAAGAAGAAAAACTTTAGCTGTTGATCATTTAACATTTAGTGCAAGACGTGGAGAAGCATTTGGTTTACTTGGTTATAATGTAAATAAACAATAATAACTATATATTTCTTTTTTCTAATTAATTAATTTAAAATAGGGTGCTGGTAAAACAACAACATTTCGTACTATAATTAGTGATATAATATCAACACACGGCGCAGCTTATATAGATGGACAAAGTATTCGTCGTCGTGTAAGATCTACACGTCATTTAGGTTATTGTCCACAACAAGATTGTAGTATGGATTTTCTAACTGTTCGAGATAGTCTTTATCTAATAGCCCGTATACGTGGCGTTGAAACATCACGTTTAAAATCAATTGTTGAAACAATGAGTTCATTATTTTTACTTGATCCTTTTCTAAATAATTATATTCATCAATTAAGTGGTGGAACAAAACGTCGATTACATACTGCCATAGCATTAATTGGTATTGTATTATATTTATTTAAATAAAATTCTTTATTTTCTTTTTGTAGGACCACCATTAGTAGCTATTCTTGATGAACCAACAACTGGTGTTGATCCAAATGCACGTCAACAAATGCAAGAAATATTTTTAAATGCCGTTAAAGCTAAATTAACTATTATTCTAACAAGTCATTCAATGGATGAATGGTAAAGAATATCTAATTAATAAAATGAACTATAATTAAGGTTTTTCTTCCCATATTTCTAGCGAACGTGTTTGTAATCGTCTTGGTATAATGGTTCGTGGTCAATTCGCTTGTTTAGGTACAATTCAACATTTAAAATCTAAATTTGGTCGAGGTTATACAATTGAAATTAAAGTTCATACAACTCCTGAAGATGCAAATGCAGTAATAATACAAAATGTTCAAAGATTTTTATTATCACAACGACAATATCAAATTGAAGTTAAAGAAATAACACATTCAACAGGTTTATTTCAATGCGGGCAAGGTACACCGGCTGAGTTATTTCAATTGCTTGAAGAAAATAAACAACAATTACAAATTGAAACATATACAATATCACAAACAACACTTGAACACGTATTTTTATCATTTGGAAAACAAATTCAAACTAGTGCAGATGAATAAATTGAATCATTATTTAAAGAAAAAAACAAAATTTTATTTTCAAATACTTTGTATATAATTCTTTAAATTTATGTAAATAAAACTAATTAATTATAAACTTTTTGTACTGAATAATTATCCGAAGCTGTTTGCCAGATAATCGAATGAATATTATGATATTAACGAGCTTGTTCTTTACATGCTTCTATTAAAGCATTAACAACTAGGGTCCTGCGGGAACGATTTTTTCCCGCATTTTCCCGCGGGAACGGAAATGCTCGTGATAAGTTCCTGAACGGAAACGATATTAAAAACTGGTGTTCTCGAAAATCTTGAGGGTGGTTGTGAGGTTATGGATACTGTATTCACCCAGCACCAACACCCACCACACCCTCGTTTTTTTCTCATTGCTCAGCTCGACTCGAAGCCCTTTGTATAGTGTTGAACATAACTTAAATCTTGAGGGTGACTGTGGGTGTGCGTGGGATATAAATGATACACTCACACACATCCAAACCCTCAAGATGGTTACGGATATGAGTAAAGTGTGGATGTGACTTTTAAGTTAAATACATCTACCTTCGCATCTTTATCCTTTTATTTTACTATATCTAATTAAAAATTTTCTTTTTCATTTTTTCTTTAGTTACGAATACTGATGAAAAGTTTGAGAGTTTTTCTGAAGTTTCTGTGACTAAAACGTTTGTAATTTCTACACCTTAGAAGGATTCTATTATTTTAGAGACTCTGAACGCTGATTAACTTATAAAATCATGCATTTCTGTTATAGCAAGGAAAAGAAAGAGAGAGGAATAAATAACTTTAACATGCTTAATATTGAACAAATATAAAACGAGTGCGTGATATTTCGTCAGTATTCTGAATTAAATCTAATAAATTTATTGATTAGACAACAAAGAATGAGACAGCTACCTTGGAATATTCAAGAAGCATTTTTTACGTGATATTTATTTCATTATATAAAAGGATATCGATCATTTTTATTTGAAATGAATAAAAAAAAGAAAAATTTTGATAATATTTATGAGATTTACCGTCAATAGATAAATACTCTTTAGAAGATGAAAGAGCACGTTACTGCAATATTTTTTTTTTTGAAATCATTTCTATAAAAGTAATATCGGCAACATATCACAGGTAAAAACGTTTGCTATTGAATGCACATTCACTTTTATACTTAAAAAGATTAGTTGTTCTCGATGAATATATTCGACCATAATCGAATATTGCTATTCATTTTTGTGTACTCAAAAAGTGAGTACACTCTAGAATCGGTCAGTGCGTCCGTCTGTCCGTTTACACGATAACGTTCGAAACGAGAGGCACATCGTAATAAGATTTTTTGCGCAGTTTAGTCTCATAAATATCTAGGTCGAGTTCGAAGATGAGTCTGGTTAGATGGGCCCTTCCTGAGTTATTGCAAAAAATACTCGTTTTTTCCTATTTTTTTTCTATAGGAAGATCGGCGTGTGCCCATTTTCGAAAAAATATTTTCTACCAGAGTCAAATAAAGTCTCACTTATTATATACCACTCGATAGACAATTTCACCAGCTACAAAATGATATATAACACACAGTGAAACAAGAAAGCTAAGTCACCTATATGGCAAACATAATTAATTAGGAAATTGTCGTAATGTTGTCAACGATGTCATTGAGCCAGAATTAGAGCTTTATGTTCCGATCGCAGATATGTTAGTTCAAGGTTTTCTGGGACGGGGAACTCGAATCTGTACTCCATTTTCCTCGAAATCCCACTGGTTGCGCAATCACCAATAAAAATCAAGTTACAGGAAAAAATATTTTTCCTACGCTAACTCAAGGCGAAGAGTTCAAATCTGAGCTGTATTCGCTCCTATATCCTCTCAGATGGGTACAGCCACTAGAAATGGTGCTTATAGATAAGATATCTCATTATAATTTTGACATCCAGACATTCTAGCAAGGGGACCGAGAGTGAAATTATAGAATTATGGAATCCGAAAACGTTTACAGAATCCGTGAGAATCCTTGGGAATCTTTAGGAAGTTTTGGAAATTCATTGGAAATCGAAAATCGTAGATAAGACACAAAGATTCTTGACATTCATCTTGAGGGTGGATGTGGGTGTGATTGAAGCAGAGTGACTCACACTTATACCGACAACCTTTGCGTGAATCTTTTCTGAAGTATTTTTTAAATGAAATATAGGACGACTACGAGGGCTGATGGATATGCGAAATTATTGTTTATTAAACTGGGTGTGGGTGTGGGTGTGAATGGGGTTTGTGTGGATGTATGTATTAATTACAAAAAACTATAATATTTACAGCCACCCCACCCACACACATCCAAACCCAAACTCACACTCACCTCCACACCGATACCCACATCTACGCCTACATTCAGACCCGCACCCACACCCACCCCACAGCCTCCGCATTTATTTTGTATTTGTTTTAAAGTTTTCAATCAATTGATAATGACGATTTTGGTGAAAATTGTGTTTTGCTGTATGGCTATAATTTCGTATGTGAATTCATATCCAATTAATTTTGACCTGACTGAATGGACAAATATTAATGAAATTAATACAGACTTACAACATAACTGTCTTTATATTTCGATGTCGATTGAGCCTCAAATAAAGCATTTTCTTTTTGAGATCTATCCTGTTCTACGAAATTTCCGTCAGATGACCTCATTATGTTTGAGTGAATGGCCATCCACATGGAAGATTCAGGAAAATACACGAGATCAAAAACTTAATTTTTCTCAACTAGCTGAATTAAATATAACCAGTCAGCAATTATATCATTGGTCAGCAACAATAGATATCATTGAATCTTATCAATTCTATTTGAATCAATTATCAACTTCAAACAGTATATCTTTATCGACGAAAGTTTTTTATAATTGTACACCACCAAGGTTTGGTTCACAATGTCAATATCTATTTCCTTTTCGAACAAAGCAAAAACTGTCATCAGTACACGAATTAATTCATGGTTTCTATTTCGATCGGATTGATGCAAGAGATGAATTATCATGTTATCATCATTTAAATTGTCGTTTTGGCTCAATATTGTTCTGTCTTGATTGGAATCAAATTTGTGATGGTTTCATTCAATGTACCGATGGAGTCGATGAACAACATTGCTGGCAAATGGAAACGAACCAATGTAAAGAAAACGAATATCGATGTCGGAATGGTCAGTGCATATCTTCAGTGTTTCTTGATGATAATGCATTTGCTGCTGAATGTCTTGATCAATCAGATACAAAGGAGAAGTTAGATTGGGATAGACTTACACGAGAAATGTACGATCCTAAGCGACCAATATTCATCAACGAAGAAGTATTTATTTATAATGGCACTGGTCATTTTGGTCCATTTTATGAAGGTCGTGATCGCAGGTATCTTTTCGTTGATCGCATGATATTACAACATGATACGTCAATGTTACAAACGTGCTGGTTACTACTTTACTGTTATCTTGCAATTTTTGATCTTTCGAAACATAATTGTATAGATATCTGTTCAAAAGAACATTGTCAAAAACAAATTAATGAAAGTTGTCCGGACATGTTTTATGTACCATCTGCAGCAATTGTCTTTGGTCATGTCTATCTAGCATATACAAAACAATACATTGTTCAACAGAAAGCACGATTAAATGCACCTGAATATATATGTTACAATGAACAATTGTGTGGTGGCTTTAATCCCAATCAAAAGACAATTCTTTTTAACAATAGTCTATGTCGTCGTGTTCAAGATATTTTACCTAATGTTATTTCAAATACAAATGGAATTCAAATGATTTGGGATTATATTCATCAAATATCTATTTATCTTTCTAAATGTAATACAATTCTACAGAATGATACAACATTATGTGACAATCGAACGATGTACCAATGTTTGAATTCTTCAAAATGTATAGCAAAAATTCGTATCTTCGATCAATTTGAAGATTGTGATTATGGAGATGATGAAGATAGGCAAAAAAATATTTTAACTAATGAAATTTGTTCGAAAGAACAATCTTCAACGCATTTTATATGTCCCAATACAAATAAATGTATTTCTCGAAAGTTAATGAGAGATTCGAAATGTGATTGTGGATATTTAGATGCTCAACATTTTCTATGTCCTGATGAAAATAGAGAAATGAAATCCATTCGAGAACTCATATCATTTCCAACAATTTGCAATGGTTTTAATGATTTAAATCCTATACTTATTGATGGACAAAATTATACAGATGAAACTGAATGTAATCAATGGATGTGTAATAATGCATATACCCGTTGTAACGGTTATTGGGATTGTTATGATGGAGCTGACGAAGTTGATTGCCATGAATTTTTATTAGGTTTGAATTGTTCAGCTCATAGTTTTTTATGTCTATTACCCATGACACGTAAATTTGTGTGTCTCTCGATGAAACAAGGTAATGATGGCAATATTGATTGTCTTGGTGCCACTGATGAACCAAAATTATGCCGATATAACACTCAAACCTATGATAATGGATTCTACTGTGAAGATCGAAAGACTCGTTTACCTATTTGTATTCAACGCAATGAAATCTGTGCTAGCGATCAAACATGTGCAAACATGGAAATGCTTAACCTCTGTGCAATGAAGTTTGACACGAATATGTTCCTAAATAGTGTCTGTAATCGAGGCGATTTTTCATATGGTAACGATACTGATATGAAAATGTGTTATCTTTTCAGATCTACTCCAAGACCTGAAATTGTGCATTTTTCTCTCGCTCAAGTAAAATCAATATTTAAAGATAAAGACATAAACTTCTCATACAAAGGATATCTTATTGATCAGATGGATCGAGATATACGCAGCAGTGATTGCTATCATGGTGTACCTTTGAAAGTTGTATTAGATTTTAACAAA